GAGAGAGAGCGAGAGAGCGCACACTTCAGAAATTCAAAAAGGTATTGGCAGTTACCTGAAAAGTACAGAGTAAAAGACAGGAAACACACAAACAGAAGTAACCCAGGCTAGACACATCTTAAGTGTCATGGCTCCTCGGCAAAAAAGAAACCAGAAATCCTATCCTATACCCTATAAGCAAACAATCGTCACAAGCCTCAAATTCAGTTTCAGAATTTGATGACAAAGTGGTGCCAACGGCAGGTGCGTCAGCAGTAGACAGAAAACCTATTCTATCACTCTATATGATTCAAAGAAAGGACAGTCTTCTGGAAGGTCGGGACCTCAGCTCACCAATAAAGACATTAAAACCAGAAACAACCATTTGTTGTCTCCAAGAAACAGATAATACTGCTAAAGATACCTACAGAGTGCTAAAGATACCTACAAGATGGAAGTCACTGAGTATGGTGGCTGCATGCCTTTAATCCCGGTCCACAGCAGAGGCAAGTGGACCTCTGTGAGTTTGCGGCCAGCTTAGTGTACACAGTGAGATCCAGGATAGCTAGGGCTACATAGAAAGACCCTGCTCCCCCCAAACAAACAAACAAACAAACAAACAAACCAAAAAATGGAGGTCAATCAATCAAGAGAGTGGAAGCCAAAAGCATACTAATACAACTCTTCTGATGGTTGATAAAAAGTAGAAATAGAGCAAAAATAAGTTAAAGAAGGCAAGAAGGTGTGTGTATATGAAGGAGTCAACAAGATAAAACAATCATAAATACACACATACACACAAAACACACACACACAACACACACACAATGAACGTTCAAAGCGGAGAATTTCATTTAAAAAACGCTGTCATAAACAGTCATTTAAGTCCTAATATCATAATAGTGGGTAATTTCAACATTAGGTCATTTTAACTAAATATCAACAAAGATATTCCAGAGTTAAATCACAATACAGAGCAAATGCACTTAACAGATAATCTGAAGATTATTTCTTCCAACAGAAAGAGAATGGACATTCTTCCCAGCAGCGCATGGCATGTTCTCTAAACTAAATCATATTCTGGGCCAGAGAGTAAGCCTCAACGAGTACAAAAGAATTGAAATTCCATTAGACCAAAATGGAATATAAATAGAAATCAACAGCCAGAGAAACTACAGGAACTACACAAATACTTGGGAAACTGAACAATGCACTCATAGCATGATCATCGGGTCTTTGAAGAAATTAAGGAAGAAATTTTAAGTTCTTAGAATCAAATGAAAATGAAAGCACAATGTTCTAGAATATTTCAGATACAGCTCAGCAGTTCTGGCTATAAGCGCTTACATTAGAAAAAGAAAATCAAAGAGATCTCAAAAACTCTTAATGATACAAGGTAAGGTCTTAGAGAATTCTACAAGAACAAGTCAAACCCAAAGGCAACAGACAGAAAGAAATAATAAGGATCAGGGCCAAAATTCATGAAATAAAGACTAAAAGAACAAGGTACAGGAACAATCAGAGTTGGTTTTTTGCAAAGAAACAAGATAGGCAAACTAAGATAGAAAATTCAAGTTAATAAAAATTAACTGAAAAAGGCAAGGCTACTACTGATGCTAATGAAATACACAGGGAATACTTTAAAACTCAAAAATCTTGAAAACAAGTTGATAAATTCCTAGACACATATGACCTACCAAAATTAAATCAAGGGAATAAAAACAATTTAAATAGATGTATAACAAGCAATGAGACTTAAGCTGTAATTAAAAATCTTCCAACTAAGAAAAGCATAAGACCAGACAGATTCACTAATAAATTCTACCAAACCTTTACAGAAGTATTATTAACACCAGAGATCCTCAAACTGTTCCATGACATAGAAAGTAAAGAACACTAGCAAACTCACTTTAAGAAGCCAGTATTACCCTTACACCAAACTCAGTAAAGACACAACAAAAGAAAACTATGGGCCAATTTCTCTGATGAACAGAGATGCAGAAATTCTAACTAAATTCTTGTGAACAAAATTCAAGAACACATTAGGATCAAATGCGATCAAATTAGGTTCATTCCAGGCATGCACCAATGGTTCAAAATCATAAATCAGTTAAATATAATAACAGCACATGAGCAGACTCAGGATTAGACATCATAAGAGTCTCTCAATGGCTACAGAATAAGCCTCTGATCAAGGTCCACATCCCTTCATGAAAAAAAAGCCCTAAAGGAACTAGAAACCATGAATACATGGAACATACCTTACCATAATAAAGGTTATATACAATAAACCTACAGTCGATGGTGTACTAAATGGTGAAAAGTATTGAATCTAAAATCAGAAAAAAGAGAAGAGCATCTTACTCTCTACTCTTACTGAATGCAGTGCTCAAAGTCTTAGCTAGGGCATTTAGACAAGAGAAATGAGAGAGATAATAAAAAGAATTCAAATAGTCTCCATTTTCAGATGACAAATCCGTTAAATCTACTAAACCCACTTACCAAAGTAACAGCATACAAAAGTAATATGTAAAAATTAAGAGTTTTTTATATACTAATAATGAAATTGCAGAAAAAAATTCAGGAAAAATTACTATTCACAATAGCTTCAAAGAAAATTAAATACCTAGGAATAAACCTAACTGAGGAAGTAAAAGACCTACAAAACAAAAAACCAAAAAGGAATGAATTGAAGAACACATTAGAAAATGGAACCTCATGCTCATAGATTGGCAAAATTAATCATGTCAAAATGGCTTTATTAACCAAAGTGATCTACATATTCAACACAATCCTGATCAAAGTGCCAATGAAACTGTCCACAGAATTAGACACAGACACACACAATCCTAAAACTGATACAGAAGCACAAAGTCCTAGAATAACCAAAGCAATCCTTAGCACAAAGGGTCCATACTAGTAATAGGTATCACAATACTTGATTTCAAATTCTACTACAGAGCCACAGTGACAAAGACTATGTATGGTACTGGCACAAAAACAGACATGTAGATAGATCAGTGCAACAGAATGCATGAGAAAGAAACAAACCCACAGAGTTACAAACACCTAGTTTTCAACAGCAGTGTCCAAAGCAAACATTGGAAAAGGCAGTATTTGCAACAAACGCTGCTGAGAAAACTGGATATACACATGTAGAAAACTGAAAGCAGACAACTCTTTCATTCTGCTCAAAAATCAATACAAAATGATCAAACCCCTTAAATGTCTTGAAACTGTCAAAGTGATAAAGGAAAATGTAGGGAAAATACTTCAAGAGCCAACAGAGTAACCAAGGTTGACAAATGGGATTACAATAAATTCAGCTTCTGCACAGCTAAGCACATAATCCCCAGAATGAATAGACAGCAGACACAACGGGGGGGGGGGAGTTTTGCCAACTGCTATCAGATAGGAAATTGATATTTATGATATATAAAGAACTGCAAAAAAATCACTCCCCAAAATCATCTAATCAAAAATGGGCCAATGAACATAATAATGAAGAAATATAAATAAGGGTTGGAGAGGTGGCTCAGGTGTTAAGAGCACTTGCTGCTCTTCCAGAGGATCCATATTCGATTCCCAGCATTCTCAGAGTGGCTCTGTCACCTTCTTATGGCCTCCATGAGCACCACACACACACACTAGTACACATAAGATAATCAAACTATCTGTACAAAATAAATACATCATTTTTTTAAACTATAAATGGCCAATAAACACTTCCAGAAGTCTTCAACATCCTTAAGCTATCAGAGAAATGAAAATTAAAACTACTTTAATCCAGTCAGAAACATGGGTAAGAATGTGGGCAGAAAGTCACTTTTATAAACTGGTAGTGAAAATGTTAACTAGTGCAGCCACTATGGAAATGCCTGTACAGGTTTCTCATAATACTAATAATAGAATTATCATAAGAGTAAGCTATTCCACTCCTGGGTATACACCCAAAAGACTCCAGATCAACAAAGCACACAGATTATTTATGTTTACTGCTCCACTAGTCACAATAGCTAAGACAGGACCAGTCTAGCTGTCTATCTACAAATACATGGATAAAGAAAATGGGGTATATACACACAATGGAATTTTATTAAGCCATAATAAAAACTGAAACCATGGCATTTTCTGGAAAATGGATGAAGCTGGAAATTATTTTAATTGAAATTAGCCAGACTCAAAAAGACAAATGCTGTATGTTTTCTTTCATATGCACAACCTAGATTTGGGAAGAGAGAGAGAGAGAGAGAGAGAGAGAGAGAGAGACAGAGAGACAGAGAACCTCACGAATTTAGAAAAGGGAGCAGGAGAAAGGCAGGGAGGGATCTTAGGAGAAGTACAGGGGCAGCAGGGAGAATGATGGAATACTTGTGACATGAGAGCAGAAGGGAACTATTTGGAGAGAGGAAGGTGACGATCAGGAGAGAGGCAGTGGGAGAAGGGAGGGTCCAGGGACACAGTAGAATAAAGTATAAAGGCACATAATTATGAAAATGCCATAATGAAACCCTTTACTCTGAGTGTTAACCTAAAAAGTAATTTTTTTAAAACTGAGAATGTTGGAGCTAGAGAGATGATGAAATGAATAACAAAATGAATAAAGTGCTTGTCATGTAAGTGTGGGGACCCGAGTTCAAATTCGCAGAGCCCATGTGAAGCTGGGCACAATACCACACACGGTAATAATCCCAGTGGCTGCTATGGTGAAATGGGAAGCAAAAACAAGAATCTCCGGAAGCTCACAGGCCAGCTAGTCTGGCATATACAGCCGCGAACAACAAAGAGATTGTGTCTCAAATGAAGTGGAAGGCATAGACCAACACCAATGGCTGAACCTCCACCCCATACACGAATGAGCACAGAGACTCATCATAAAAACATACAGGAGGGAGGAAAGAGAGTGTGTACAGAATTGTGACACACGAGAAACTATTCCTACCTGTTAGAGCCACTGTTTCCATTACTTGAATTCCCTTTTGGTGTGGTACTAGAGGTCTTGTTAACAGTTTTCACACCACACTGAGATCTCTCCCTTGATTTATCTGAAATAAAGAAAGGTTTCTGTAAACAAGCTCTAAGCATAAATAAACTGATTTCACAGCAAAATGATTACAGGATAATTAGAAAGGCTCAGGAGGCTGATTATTTCTTAATAGTTACATACTTACAACTAGGAAATAAAAAGTAATGAGTCTAGCATTGTAGTTATGTGATAAAATATTTCAACATATTATTTATAAATGTCACAAACAAACATACCAGTCTCCTCAGTACTGCTTTCATCTGATTTAGATGAACTTCCTGCAGAGGATGAAGAAGGCCCACCCCCAGGGCCATTTTGTACACTGGCAACAGCATTCCTTGGAGGAGGGTCTTTGTGATGAAATTCATTTTCAGGTATCATATGTGATTTTCTACTTTTCAACTGCCCAGAGTAGCTGAAAGTCGCACAAAGTGTTTAAATACACAGACAACAAAATAAAAGGCACAAATATGGAGTTTAATAGAATAAAATTAGCAAATTATTTGATCCGCTATTTGGTTGCAGAGGGGGAAAAATATTACTTTTCAGTATATTCTTTAAGGTATTTAACGTGCTCTAGATACGAGCTTTTCTCTTTCTGATCCTGAAGATAACTATGATGATAAATTAATTTCCTCCCTTTCACAACTAGTTTTTGAAACTAGCATCCAGTATAGACCGGAAGTTGGTAATCAGAAGTAACAACTCTCACCAGCCTGTGGGAACATGATCGCATAATCTCCCATAATCTCCTGAAGTAAAGCAGAAGATAAACTTCAACACTGTAAAACATTTAAAAATCTTCAGAATCCTTCTAAATCTAGTCTCATAAATCACATTAAAGTATAATCTTGTTACCCCATAGCCAATGCATATAGATCTGGCCTCTTCTCTTTTTCTTCTTGGCATATTTTATTCACTCTTCTTTCCAAAGCCTGACCCAGATTCAAAACTTTTGGGTACCAAGGAAGTATTTTTGTTAGCACAATCAATATATTCCTGATGTGAGTATATTCGCCCGTCTCAAGGCAATGTACCGATGCCTACAACAGACATTTAAAGATTCATTATCATAGAAATACAGGTACGAGGAGGAAAAAAAAATTACCTTTGAAAAAAGTCCATTTTTTTTACCTTGGTTAGTTTATAGTGCCACTTATGTACAACATGTCTAAAATTTTCATAATCTAATTGATCGGCTTTATTTCCACCATCAAATCCAGTTGCCCGTAATATAGTAAGAAATCCTGGGTAGTTTCCACATTCCTAAAGAATTACAAAATTTATCATTTTTAGAGATAAAAACTCTATCCCACACAACAGTTGAAGCTGAAACTCCAGGAGACTAAAGAAAGGTTTAAGCCAGGTATGGTGGCAAACATCTTTAATCCCCAGAGGCAGACAGATGTATGTCTATTAGTTGGAGGACAGCCTGGTCTGCAAAGCCAAGTTCCAGGCCAGCGGAGGCTACATAGTGAGAGTCTGTCTTTAAAAAAAAAAAAAGTTCAGCTTATGTAATACAAACTTACAATGTCAAATTGAAATAAGAGTTTCCCCCTTTTAATAATATATTAATTGTGCTTTTAAATATGTGATGGTTTGAATGAAAATGTCCCCCATAGGCTCCAAGTATTTGGACATTTTGTCCCCAGATGATGGCACTGTTTTGGGAGGTTTTAGAAGGTGTGGCTATCCTAGAGGAAGCACGTCACTGAGGGTGGGCTTAGAGAATTCTTAAGCCTTGCAGGATCTCCAGTTGCTCTCTTGCGTCCTGTGCCTGTGTGATGATGTGAGCGCTTAGCTTCTGCTGCTCCTGCTCAGCCATCTCCAGCCACCATGCCTCCCTGTCATGACGGACTGTAATTTCTCTGGAACCATAAGTTCAAATAAACTCTTCCTTCTATAAATTGCTTGGGTCAGTGTTTCTATCACAGCAACAGAAAAGTGACTAATACAAAATATTTTAAAAGTGAATCTTAAACTCAGCTTCCCTTTTAAATGGGCCTATTTAGAGATTACTAAAAGCATCATGATACACATGAGTAAAATATAAGCATACTATCAGTGATATACCTTTTCATATGTGGCTCTATCACTGTGCCACCGGGTCACTGTCTCTAACATGCAACAGAGAAATCTCCCATACCGACTAGCTTCATTTTCAGTACAGCTTGCAACCGTGTAAATTATGTCAGAAAAAACCTAGAGGAAAACAAGTTTGGGTAAAAAAGTCAAATTCAAAACTAAAATATTGTTAACAGGTAAATTTAGTAAAAATGCCTTTTATATTCACACTTGGTTTTTGGAGACTCGAGATTTTGTGTAGAAATAGCACATTCATAAAGCATCAAAAAATTTTACGAAGAAAGTTGATTTATAATGACAACAGATAAAGCTAGACTATCGGATAACAGCTTCCAGAAGAATAGTCATTTGTGACTGAGATTGCAGAGACAGTAAGCAAAGGCAAAGCTGATCGAAATCAGAAATATGCAGCAGACATGCTGCACCATACATGACATTCTAAAGCACAAATGCAGCACTGTAAGAAAAAAAGCAAGATGCAAAAAAAAAAAATCTATGAATATGATAACACTGAAAAGCTTCCCTATTTTTATGTAGTATAAATATGAAATTTTTTACTGTTTTATGGGAAAGGAGAGGTTTAGTTTTAGTTTTGTTTTGAGGACTGGAAGTTAAGAGTGGGAAAAGGCCCTACTTAGGATGATACAAGATGTAAATCAAATGCTAAATGAAGAGGTTATCCTTGAGTGCAACAGGTATCACACCAGTGTTTTATATATAGAGTGGCACATTTAACCCTTGGGACAACCTTACAGAGCAGGACCAACATTACAGATAAGGAAATTGGTGCACAGACAGGTTAAATAACTTGCAAAAGATCATATAGCTAGAAAGTAGTAGAGCTAGGATTCAATTTCAGGTAGTTGGCCCTTAAGTTCATGCTTTTAAAACCACACAAATACCTTTAAAGTTTATAATACTTAGCTGTCTTTCTGTGAAATTTCTTTTAAAAGTTGCAATAGAAAGAACTTACTCGATCATAGCAAAGAAGTGTGGAAAAATTTGGAGTTTTCTGTTGATGTACCAATTCAACAAAACGAGCACAGTAAACAGCATCAATTGCTGAAAAAATACATCGAGGAAATATACACAGCTGGAGAAATTTTGTGATGGTCTCATTTTTGGTAGATTCTAAAAGTAAGGGAAGAATATATTAAGTGGTAATCTTCAAGTGCCTCAAGGCCACTAAACATGACAACATTTTAACTACAGTGTACAGGATGCTATAAAAGGTTATGCCTGGGATAAAGACTCATTGCTTTTTACTCTGTGGACATTTTTCTATCTACAATTTCCCCAGAAATATGGTTTTATACCAAAAATTTGAATGCTAAGCTGCTAATATTATCATTATAACCTAATTTTATTTCACCAGGAAACTAAGTTATCAGTTACTTCAGTGAACATGTGACGCCGATTCTGCAGTAATGAATAACCAAAGAATAGATTCGTGAATAGAGTTGAAATACAAACAGCATCACTTGAACACCTCCAACTGTGTGCTCTGCAGTTTAGCAGCAGCAGGAACAGAACAAATGCAGCAACTTACTTGCTAAAAGCCAGTTGTCCTTTTCCAATTTCAGTCTCTGGAGAACTCTCTGTACATGTTCCATCTGCTTCTTTTCTTCCTCAAGAAGCTTGTCCTGAAGAGCAGTACAACGCTCCTTTTCTTTTTTCTTCTTATTTGGAGGCTACAAAGTAAAGTTAGATGCTTTTCTTACTGTATCTACCTTCTTACAACTAAATATTTTAAAATATGTCTCTACTTTGTAATTACTGCAGCAGGGATATACGAGAGGTACACCTAGGTGTGCCGCTTTGCCATTCAACACATCCAAATCAGTGTCACACCTAATCAGATCACTTTCTTAACATTGGTAGTGTCCTTCTGGGGCAAAATGAAGTCATCTCTGACTTGCCTTCATTCCTATATCCCACTTGTTTACAGAGTGTTTCTGTACAGTGTTCTCGGCACTGCATAGGGAATTACCCCCAAACCACCTCGCTGGTCTCTAACCTCACAGAAGTCCCTCTCCTAATCAGAAGCATCGTTCATACACCACTCTCACAATCCTTTAAGAGTGCCATTTTTACTTTTACTATCTCCCAGTTCAGGTATCAAAATGAGGTTTCAGTTGTATCATATCTACTGACTCTGAGTGCCTACTTAATATCATCAAGCCCATTCAGTACAGTCCAGATGCTCTTCATAAACTCTATATTACTTCCTGTCTTTGCTGAAACCCTGAAGTCATTTCCCTATTGCTTCTTTATTTTCAAGGGTAATTTACCTTCAAAGGCCTTATTAACTCTAGATTTAATTCTTTATGAAATTCTTCTAAAGAACTCCCTTTTTAGGAATTCCTACTGCTTTTGAAGTTGGGAGTCACATAAAACACTTTAGGTTGCTGTCAGTGTTAAGTAGAAAAACAAGTGTTTTCGTTTTTTTGTTCCTAAGTAATAATTTTCATCTATTCACCAAGATCCTTGCCCCAGCAACAGAGACCTTCCCATTAAATTCACTTAAAATATTATACAATAACAAGATCATAGCATCAAGAATCCGTAGCTAAAATAATTACAAAGTATGGTTTAATACTGCATTAATGTATAATTATTATACTTGCTGAGTTGCTAGAACAAAAACCTACCATTTCCTGATTGTCATCAATTGCTTTCATCTGGATTTTAAGTTTATTGACTTCTCGTTCGTAGCTGGTATGTGGAACTGCAAGGTCATACATTGTCAAAGACCAAAATGTGGCGTAGAATTGAGGGCTGATATCGTCCCAGACTTTGGAAACGTGTAAGGAAACCACTGCTTCATGGACAGGAGCCATCACCATCTCACATGATGTAATGTACTTATGAACTTTATGTTGTTGTTTACTTCCCTTTTCTGACTTTTTAAGTTCATCATATTTTGACTAGAGATAAAAAGTAAAAACATATCATGCATACTTATACAAAACCATAATGGGTCTTTTAATTGCTTACCCAAAGTATTTATTTTAAGCTGTTCCAATATTTAGTTTTACGTTCTAGCTAGAAATTTTTCGGTGTATTTTTTCAATCACATTTGACCTACTAAGTAAGTCAATAGGGCCAGTGTGAAGAAGCTGGATTGATACTAAGATTAAAAGAAAGACTACTACCTCAGTGACCAAATGTACAGTTTTGCTAGAGACTCAGGAGTTTCCCAGAATGCAAGCCTTCAATGCTGAAACTGATAAAGTTCCAGTCAGAGTGAGCAGCTACTTTTTCTACTACTAAGCCACAAAAAATGTTCTGTAGTTACCTGTGGTAAATTGAAATTGGAATTGTGTGACAACTGATGCTACAGATTCTTTACCCTGACTGACTTGTCCTAGTTTCAAGGACAGTCAGAAGAAGGCTATACTTTTAATTACATGAGGGGAAAATAATCTATTAGTGTAATGACACTGACTGAAATATTAATTCATAGAGTATATGCCAAACACACAAAGAAAATTAATACACTGTCTTGTGTCCTTCAGTCACTTTATGAAGAAAGATCAAGAAAATTTCACTGACATTAGGCATCATCCCTAAGGTGAATGTGAGAAGTCCTACAACTAGTTGCTTCTTTATGTTAGAAAAGCACCTAAATCATTCACTTTACGCTAAATATGCACCCCACAGCAGTGATCAAAGGCTCTGCTCCAGTCTGGCACTGACACGCAATAGTCTCAGTTGCCTCACCAGGCTCACTACACTAAAATTAGAAGCCCACTGTGTTCAAGGGGTCTCAAGTAGAATCTAGGAATCTTGTAACTGTTGTAAAGTGTGATAATTTATTGCCTATTACCCCCATGTTAGAGAGCATACTGATAAGTACTGAGGCTACAGAGGTGACAAAACTATAAAAAACACCAGCCATATGAGAGTGGTGTCAATTATAGTGAGGACCTGAAAGAACAGTAGGTAGGGTAACAAAGGGCTTTAAATTTAGAAAGCAGATCTTACTGATGGTAACTAATATGACTCAAGATGAGTAGAATGACATCTGTGAAGGTTCTAATAAAACATGGGGTAAAACAGTGCTGAAACTACCTGCAAATGACAATCCAACAAGCTGATTGGGAAAGACCTACAATAACATCTGGGCAGGGAAAACTTCTCTTTCAGGCTTATGTTTCAAGTTGGGTCTCAATGATTAAAAATGAAAATTAAGGGCTGGAGAGATGGCTCAGCGGTTAAGAGTACTGACTGCTCTTGCAGAGGACCCGGGTTCAGTTCCCAGCACCCACATGGCAGCTAACAGCTGTCTTTAACTCCAGTTCCAGGGGATTCAATGCCCTCCTCTGACCCTCCACCAGCACTACATGACACGGGGGCACTTACACACATGCAGGCAAGACACTCATACACACAAAAGCATAAAATATTTTTTCTAAATAAAAATTATGTAAGTATAATTTTTTCTAAATAAAAATTATGTAAGTATAAGAAAATTGACTAACAGCTCTAATATTCCCAGTTCTCTGATTCTGAATCTGTGACTTCTATTGGTAGGTCCTCTACTAGTCCCTTTCTAGTCAGAAAAATAGGCTTGATCAAAAAAGATAGTTGTGGCTGGGCATGGTGGTGTACACTTTTAATTAATCCCAGTGCTTGGGAGTCAGAGACAGACAGATCTCTGAGATTGGGGCCAGCCTGGTTTACATAGTGAATTCCAGGCCAGCGCTGGCTATAGGGAGACTCTGTCTCCAAAAGACCCCAAAAAAATGTTATATTTTATCTATGATATCAATTTCTCTTACCTAAAGTTAAACTATCACCTGAGTTCACATGCCCAGTCAAATGTAGAATTAAGGTCCTACTATACTTCCGATTGCTGCTGAAAAGCTTTTGTTGGGTCAAGAATTTGAGCAATATTTTGTTGGGTAATCCCTAGGAGAGCCTTATGGTAGCCAGTTTATTGAAGGAACAAGCAGTTTCCCCTTTCCCTTTCATCACTTTTAAGATTTTATTTTCATTTACTGCTTGTGTGTGTGTATGTGCACCTTGTATGTGTGCATGCCCACTGACATCAGAAGATTTTAGATCTTCTGGTGTTAAAGGCATGAGCAGCTATGAGCCCCCTAACATGGGTGCTGGGAACTGAACTCAGATCCTGGGGAAGAGCACCTAGTCTTCTTACCCACTGAGCCACTTCACTAGCCCTCTCACAGTTTCCTTATACATTCTCCCTCTCTTATCAAAGGCTCTTTGTGAAGATTTCATCAAAGAAGCAAATTTAAGGACGCTCCGGGACAGGGGGGATATGCGTGCATTGCACCCTAGGTTGCCAAGGAGCTCCCTTCTCAAGAGATATGTGGCCTATATGGGAGTAGGAAGAGAGACACCTATCACTGTCTGGGGTATATAGCAGCCACCATGTATTTCTCTGCTTTCTTCCTAAACTCTGAAAAGGAAATGTCATTTCTTTCATTAGATTCTGTAACTCATAAAAGACAACATTTTTCACAGGCTAGAAAAGAAATTAAGTTATTGGTATAAATTATCTGCTCCATTTTCTGACCAGTAATAGCTCAGCCAGTATTCAGACAATCAGGCATTCCTGTTTGCTCAGTACAGGAAAAAGCACCACAACATTCCTGAGATAGGGTGATCCTTCCACCTTAGTCTTCAAGAAATCACATCCTATGTTTCTGTGGATTAGATTTCTCTTCCATGGGTGGGGTGATAGTACTTGATATTAAGTACACATTGACAGTATGTAATTCTCTAGAATTAGAGGTTCCAACGGGAAAAAGTCTCTCCTGAGCTCCATTAATCCTCTAGAGTACAAAGGATAGGAACTGCTGCATAATGCTAATGACATGGAATTTTTAAAAGTAATAGCTGTTAGATGGAAGTGAAAGATAAGAGTAGTTCCTATGGAAAAACTAACAAGTGCATGGTCAATTCTATAGTCAGATGAACTTCTAATTTCTGCCCACCTTCTGTTTGTATACCTCAACTACAAAGCTGTGATCCTACAGGGAACAAAGGGAGGGATCTTATTTTAAGAGGGGCCAATACCTTCCCATAAGCTGAAGTGAAAACCCTAGACAGTACAGAATGAAAAAAAAAAAAAAAACAGAAGGGTCAGAATTCAAGCCAACAGAGAAATGTAAAATATACTGGGTATCCACAGCCCTGAGGGGACAGGAACCAGGAAGACCTATTTTTAAAAACAGCATTTCTTTGTACATTGCTGGGAAATAAATAGTAACAAAAAATTAGAGTAATATTCAGCGTTATAATTTGAATCTATAAACTAAAATACACTTAAACATCAAATACTTGTGAAACAATTTGCAATTATTCATAGATCCAATGAAGATATACTTGCACTTACTGAAATATGGTGTGCATACATTGGTCTCGACAGAAAAAATGCTGCATCATGAGGTGTATGAAATTCATTGCAGAGTACATCAATTGAAGGCACTCGCTTTATATAATCTTCTGTACTTAGATTGGATGCTAAAAACCCACCAAACTGTACTAGGGTATCATGACACTAAATTAAAAATAAGACAAAAAAAAAAACCCAAGTATGTTAACATTTTACAAAACCAACATAAACCTTTTCCAAATGATTAAGATATGTAATTTTAAGAGTATATTGGCTAACAAGTAAAAGAATTCAAATTTTGTTGGCACAGGCACAGGGATCCACAATGGAGGACACTGTATTCAATGAAATAAACCAAGCAGAGAAAGACGATTCTCACATGCTCGCACTTATACATAGAACCTAAAAGAAATGCTGAGTTCATAAACATAAAGACCAAAAGAGCAGGTACTAGAGGCTATGTGTCATGGGAAGGGACAGAGAGGTGGGATCTTGAGTGTCAAACTACAGACACAGATGAGGCAAGTTCTAGTGACGTACAGTGCACAGTAGGCTGAACACAGCTCACAGCTAATTTGTTACATATTTTACAAGGAGCTAGAAGAAAGAAGTTCAGTATTTCCCAACACAAAGAACAAATGTTTAGGGAGATGGATAGTAATCACCAATTTGATTATTTACACATTGTATACATGTACTAAATTATCATAATGTACCCCGTAAAGATGTACAATTGCTAGGTATCAGTTAAAATTGTAAATATTAAAACAAATCTGATGCATTCACTTATCTATATTAACCAAATGTGTTTTTGCACTGTCAAAAAAGACAGAGGAGCGGGGAGAAAACAAACATACATGCTCTAGGCATAGTGACACAAGCTTGTAACTCCAGTACACAGAAGTGAAAGGCACAGAGACCACAAGATCAAGGCCACCCTAAGCTACATAATGAGAGCTTACCAAAAACAAAGACAGAAGGGGGAGGGCCTATGTTTGATAACTAGAAAGGACTCTAGACAGTAACTACAAAAACAACCACATGGTCATATTACAAACAAGATGCAGAGGGCCTAAAAGGGTGACTAATCCAACACTTAATAGACAATTACTCCTCTAAGTTCTAAGCCACTGTTTATCACTTTTTGTCAAACACGTTTACCTAAAATCCCACAAAACAATAAACATATGCAAAGAGAAGTTAACTCTTTTGCCATTAAAAGATGAAAATTGTATTTACAGAATAAATTCATAAACATTAACCATTAAACGTTTGATTAGCCAACAAAATGTGTTTAAGCATTGCCAATCATACTACCAAGAAACAAGAGATAGAATCTACTCTTTTACAACTGAAATTCCAGATTTCCAGATATCAAAAAAGATAAACAATGGCCTTTAACAATGGAGTGTCTAATTAACTTAAAACTTTATACATAAAATCTCCCATACCCATCTCTTAAATATCATAATTTGCCCATAAATAGAGGCTTTGTTTCAGGAACACCTATTTGACAATGGGGGTGTTTCAAACTCCTATGATGTACAAAAGTCACATTTTTCAAGTGACATCACATTCTCCCTTTTAACAGTGTTAAAAACATCTTCCTCAACACAAAAGCCATTTTAACTTACCTGGTCATAGAGCTTTCCCACAAGCTTCAAATGTTTCTCTCCACCTTCCTGAAAAATCACTCCATTCCTCTGCTGAGCCATAAGCAAACAGAGAGGAAGAGCAAGATCGTGATCCAACAGTGCATCCTTTAACCTCTGAGAAGACTTTTTAGTGTTTCTGATCTGGCCAAAATAACCACCCTGCATAAAGGAGGAAACAAATTTATAGCTATACGGTATGTAGTCCATTATCACCTCACTGGAAAAACACAGAAGAAAGCTGAGCTACAATTTTTTAAACACTTCTGGAATAGGAGTCACAATCCAAGCATTTAGGAGGTGGAACCAGGAGGATTAGGAGTTCAAAGTCATCCTCAACTATGCAAGCCAAGTTCAGGGCCAGCTTGGGCTACTTCCCATCCAGTCTCAAAAAACCAGAATAATAAAAATAAAGAGGCATAACATTATTTTAAAACACCAGAATAAAATAAAGCATTTCCATATCCTATATTACCTCTCCTCACAAATTTACTTTCATGATACTATTATCAAGTATAATCTAGCTAAAGGTAACTGTCAATTATGTTCAAACTTTTTCATCTTCCATTTCCCAGCTTCTATTCTCTTATAAAAGATTATTTTTCATTCACTGAAGAGATTTAACAGACTGTGTTAAGACTGATTCCAGTGAGGATAGTAAGTATAATAAAACACCTAGGATTTCTTTTAAGTAATAGGTTATTGTCTTTTATACTGTCAGTATTTTTTTAAGATACAATTACTAGTGTTTCACAACTCTTAAAAAGGAAAGTAAGAGTGAAATCAATTTCACTTTCAATTTAAACAATCATGATTTGCATGGTATTGCATTATTTCCCAAAGAAGGATAATGTTGATAGAGCCAGCAGTCACAAAACTATCAGTTTGTGATAGATTTTGTCAGAAACATTTTCTCCAAATTTCCATTTCCTACATAAAATCTGATTCTTCACATTTGTAAAATTTATCAATCGAAAGTTTGTTGTTGCTGTTGTTGTTTTAAGGAGGGTAGGGTCAGTTTTGATAATGGGTTATGTATGGCTTTTGCATTAGGTTTTATGCACTTATATACTATTTGGATTCTATACTATGACCACACATCTGTGGCAGATGTGTTCCAAAATCCCCAGTGTATAACTCAAACTGCAAAAGCTTAACTAGACACAGTAACATTAATTAGCAACAATTAATAAAACAGAGCTATTAGAATTATTTAATAAAAGTTATGTAACTTTGGTCACACTCTAAATATGTTATTATACTGTATTCATTATGATGATGCCTATGTGATAACCTAAAGGGAAGATGCACAGAGATAAACTGCTGAGCTACTTGAGGAAAGGTTACCTGAATACAAATATACTGTGATAGACAATTGATAGCCAAGACTGCTATCCATACAGCCAATGTGACAACCAAGATGGTTATCACATGACTAATGGGTAGCATACAGAGTGAGGATATCCTGGCCAAAGGGAAGATTCTTGTCCCACAATAAAGGGAGTAGAATGGCACAAGATTTACCCCATTCTACACAGAATGGAGGCCAAACTAAAATTATTATTTATTTCTGCAATTTTTTTCTCTTTAATATTTCAAATTGTGGATAACTGTGTGGTTAAGTAAAATTTTGAAAAAGAAAACCACTGACCTAGAAAGCCCATAGTAATTTGATTTTAAAAACTCAATAAACAAAAACCGCAATTCTCACCTCAGCTTTTAGCTGCTCTCCACCAGTCATGGCCTCTAATTGCTCTGTTGTCATTTCCTCTGTAATTTCGATTCCTGCCATTTTTTGTACCACTTCTTTCAATATAAGCAGGTCAAAACTATAAGACACAAACTATAGTTAAAACTTTGAATATAAAAGTAATAATTCATTATAATATACTGAGTATAATTACTTAAGACAAGTATATTGTAAGGGATAAGATTTTTTTAAAGAAACAACTGCATTCCTAGTACTATATGGAAAAATATTTTATCTTTAATTTTTTCTTAGAACAAATTTCAAACTTACAGATAGATAGCTTACTGAAATTAAAACACTATAAAAATCGCCCTTTATAACCTTTACCCAAACTTTACCTATTTTTATTCATACTCATCATTTGCATTCTTTCCTTCCCATATACTCTGCCTGTCTTTGTGTTTCTCTCTCTCTCTCTCTCTCTCTCTCTCTCTCTCTCTCTCTCTCTCTCTCACACACACACACACACACACACACACACACACACACACTCATTCTCCCTCTTGCCCATTCTGCTCCACTCCTGCGCCACACCCGTAGGCCATGATGCTCTGCCTCACGACCAGTGCAGAAACAATGTAGGCAGCTGACCAGAGACTGAGACCTCGGAAACGCTGAGTACAAAATGACCTTCCCTTTTTATGTTGTTTCTATCAGGTATTTGTCACGATGACAAGAAACTAACATGAAACTTTTTATAGAATGAATGGGAGGGCAAACTATTTAAAGTACTGTCTTTTGGCCCCTACAATTTCTAAGACTGTACATTTGAAGAATGGAGCCACTTGTTTACACAGCCACAGCAGTCACCAACTTTAGTAATTCTAGTACTTCATCTATTGTTCAAATTTCATTTTCATCAACTGCCCCAACAATATTTTTCTCTTCCAATTCAGGATGAGGATGGCCAATGTTTCTTACAGTAGATAGCAACATCTCTAAACAATACAATTAATAAAACAAATAAAGTCATAAAATGATCGTACATGGTTAGAAAAGAAAGTGGGAAAGGAAAAACTAGATGGAAAGAAATGTTCCAAGTTGTGGTACTTAGGCCTGAAGTAAGAGGTTTTGTCCAACACTAAGTGCCTTTCAGTAATGTGTCATCCAGTATACTTTTGGAGAAAGTCTCATACTTTAGCCCATATTAGCCTCTAACTGATACTCCTCCTACTTCAGTCTCCAGAGTTCTAGGATTACAGCCATGGGCCATCACACCTGGGTAGATATGCATTTTAATTTTACAAAGTTTAGAAGTGCCCATGGAAACCACAGCTTGTGATCTCTATAATTTTCTTTAGTTTTCCAAAGGTAAAGGTATGTATATCCATGGTCAAGCTACTAGACAAAAGTACAGCTTTCTAATATTCTTATCAGAGGTTGCTTTTCAACTTGCCTTGCATTCCCTTTAGAGGTTTTTCAAAAATCAGACAGCTCTATGCAAATCAGTATACAAGTGTCAATGTGACAGTCGGATTTTTTAAAACCATGTTTTAATTAAATAGTTACAAATATATATTCACAATAAAATAAAACTCAATTATCGTCTTAAAACTAGCATGTGTTCTCATGGCCTGAGAAAGAAAAGGGTGAAGTGTACAGGAATGACAGAGGTACACACAGTAGAAATAATGTGCTGTCAAGACCAAGTCTATATAATTTTTTAATATTTTATAATTTTATGTGTATATCGCCTGCATGTATGCCCTCAGAGGTCAGAAGACAGCATCAAATCCCCTGGAACTTGAGTTACAGATGGTTGTTAGCTGCCATGTGGGTCCTGGGAATTGAACCCAGGTCCTCTGCAAGAACAGTCAGTGCTCTTAGCTACTGAGCCACCTCTCCAGCCCCAAGTCTGTATTTTAAATTGTCTTCTCTGAAGTCAAAACAGGACTCTGCCAAGACTCTAATACTTGTTTGAAATACCTACAACCTTGTATTTTGTTGTTATTGACTTTCTATCAGAAAGCTTCGGAAAACAATATCCAGTTCAATTATAATTAATCCACAAATGAGGAGGTTTAATAGACTTATTAATTCAAAGTCTAAGCACTGATACTGGCTCAGACTAAACTTCAGTGTTTACAAATAGAGCACAGTTAAATATATAAAGCAGCTGGGCATGGTGACACATGCCCTTAATCCCAGCGCAGGGGGGGATCTCTGTGAGTTCAAGGCCAGCCTGGTCTACATAGTGAGTTCCAGGCCAGCTGGGGCTACAGGGAGACCCTGTCTCAAAAAGACCAAGGGGAAAAAAAATACATAAACGTTACATGTCTCTAAATTCACAGTAAAAAACTGTTTTATACTATATACTCCCTTAAATCAGCATTTTACCAGATACTCAATGTAGTAAAGGTCAATTATTGCCCAGTAGGAAAATAAACAGTGCAGTAGGTTTTGTCATAAGAGGCTACTCAATACACCCTATTAACAATTTACTAAAAAGCCTAATGGTAAATATAAGTTAACTGTCCTTTTAATGAGTTATAAATACAATTTCTTGGGAAAGTGTCTGTATGTATTAAGTGCTAATTTCTCTTTAAAAATTGTGTATGCCTGCAATTCAATACTTGGGAAGCTGAGGGAATATTTCAATTTTGAGGAGACCCTGGGCTATACAATGAGAGACTATCTTTAAAAAATTAATTCATATAAAGTGAAAATCTGTTCAGTTGAATCTACACATCTTGCAAGGTAACAGTCATCTCAACATTCCAAAGCCACCAGAAGTGCTAGAACTATTAAATTTCAATTCCATATAAGTTTCCAAGATTACCTTTTCCCAGCCTTTAACTGATTTGCTACATACTGAAGAAGACCAGCGAGATCAATCGGATATTTACGAAAAACTGCACCACAAAAACTAGCCAGACCTATATAAAGTTAAAAAAAAAGAGAGAGCAAAAATAAAAACAGTCCATGAAACAGAAAGTACATTTAGTATAATTTCAACAAACTCAATTTCTAAAACAAAATGAGGCATTTTTTTTTTTTTGGTCTTTTTTGAGACAGGGTCTCCCAGTAGCCCCAGCTGGCCTGGAACTCGCTATGTAGACCAGGCTGGCCTCAAACTCAGAGATCTGCCTGCCTCTGCCTCTCAAGTGCTGGAATCAAAGGCATGCGCCACCACACCTGGCGGCATGAGTTATTTTTTACTGATGCCAGAGAATAGTTTTACAATCATTAACAGCTAATATTTATTATGCACACAAATGTAAGTACTGACCCAAGCACTTTATATAGATTATCTTATTTAATCCTTGCAACAATCACCTTAGGTTAGCATAAGCCTATTGATGAGGCAAATTCAGAAAAGATGCATCACGAAACTTACTCATGGTCTCAATACATAGGTCTCAGCACATAGGACAGCAGGAATTCATACCTATGTAGCCTAATCAGTTATGACTCAAAGTCACAGACATTACTGACTACATTTAAATAAGCAGTAAAGTATCCAGCCCTCAAAAGTTTTGAGTCAAAAAAATGTCTTTATATCTAGGAACACGCTACTACCTATGGAGAGCAAAATAAAGAAGCAAAGCATTGCTACATGGAGAGCAGACAGATCAATTATAACCAAGATTCCCTGCCATATCCTTAAGGAAGAGGAAACTCCAGGAAGACAAGAGGAGGAGCGTCTAATGATCTGTAGCTTATTTACCAGTTATTTGATAAGTACCTAAATATCAGGCCCCAGTCCTGCCCTTAAGGAGCTTTGAGTCCAGTGGAAGATTCAGAAAACTAAATACCTGTGATGAATAAAGGAAGGGGGCTGGAGACTGGAGAGATGGCTCAGCAGTTAAGAGCACTGGCTGCTCTTTCTCACAAAGGACTAGGGTTCAGTTCCCAGCACACATGTTGCTAACAACAGTCTGTCACTCCAGTTCCAGGGGATTCAACGCCCTCCTCTGGCCTTTGAGTGTATTGCATGCATGGGTGCACTTACATATATACACACAAGGAAAACACTCATAAAATAAAAAGAAACTTTTGTCTTTTTTTTTCTTTGAGACAGGGTCTCCTTGTAGCCCCAACTGTCCTGGAACTCACTATGTAGACCAGGCTGGCCTGGGACTCACAAAGGTCCACCTGCCTCTGCCTCCCAAGTGCTGGGATTAAAGGCGTGTAACACCACGCTGGGCCAGAAATATTTTTTAAAGGTTGTGGGGGAATACAAAAGAGTAGTTAAGACTTGTGGGGAGGAACATTAACATCAAAAATTTTCCAAAGGAAATGACCTCTTAGTTGACATCTAATAAATAAACAGAAGATGGACTAGATGAGGGGAGTGACCATGGAAGGGTACCCAAGTAGAGAGAATTATGTGTAAAAGGTCAATGAAAAGTGCAATATGTCAGTATTAATGGAATCCATAATACTGGCAATGAGAGAAAGATGAGGCTAGAATAATAACAACATGAATCTAAAAGAAATTAACTTGTGGCACTTACTAAATATTTCATGGGCTGGTTAAGCGGTAGAGCACATGCTAGTATGTGTGCGGCACTAAATTCAATCCCAAATACCAGGAAAAATAATCAGATTTTACAGAATAACAGGGAGCCACTTCAAGATTCAGGTATCGGATATGCCAGAAGAAAAAGTTTAACTAGCGCTCTTAAGACCAACTCCTCTCAAATAACAGTAATCAGAAAGAAAGGGATTTCCATCCCAAATAATGCTTCCCCCAATTCTCTCATCTAAGTACTAATCAAGCCTGACTCTGCTTAGCTTCTGAGATCAGACAAGGCAAGGCACCCAGAATGGTACGGCTATAGACTGCTTCCCCGAATTCTACCGTAGTCAAAAATAGTCTCTTGAGCAAAGAAAATTAATAAGTACTACATGAATATCCTCACACAGCCAAGGTCTTGATAATTTGGTAGGACAAAAGCTGAGTGGCTTGATACTCTCAAGAGCTCTTGACAAATAAACCCTTAAAAGTCTGAAAGCAAAGGTAACCAAATATAAAACATGACAATTACCACCCTTAATATTATCAATAGTAACTCTATCCTTAGAAAAATAAAGACGACTTACTCTGAAGCCAGCTTGAAATGGTTGTATCATCGTGTTTCATTCTTTCCTTTTCTGGATTAGCTAAAGCTTCAATGATACAATCTTTCATACATTAAGAAAAAAAATTGTCATGACATCTCTAAGAAAGACCCTTAAAGGGACAAAATAAATTGCCATATCCTCAGGGAGAAATAAAATTGACAATAACTCATTGAAGTATCAGCTCTCCTTTACTAGCCTCTTTGCCATCTCTCAGCAAGGAAGATTCCACCTATATCAAGATATTTGGCAAACCAAGTTTCTCCCTTTATATAGCACAAAGCGCATGCGCGCGCGCACACACACACACACACTCACACACACACACACACACACACAGAAAATAATTCACTTTCAACACTCTTGACTGGCCACACATCAGTCAGTTGAACCAACCAACATTACATGGTTATTAAAAGGAAGTTGGAATAAAAAATAAATCATTTGCTATTTAGCTATAGTGACACTGAAGTCTGTGCATTACTTCACATTAAAGGATACAGGCCAAGACATCATAATTCAATGATGTGAGGTATTTCAACGAATCTACTACAGGCGTTATTAAGTTATCATATTTCTGTATTTGTGATAAGATCTGGAAGACAGTAACAAAGAATTGTTGCATTAGTTACATAAAAAAGGAATGTCTATTCACCTTCAAATTAGAACTAACAATTCCAGGGAGTCTAAACACACATTTTGGAATGATAGAGGCTAGTTCTGTTTTAAATGATTTATAGTCTTTATAAAAAAGAAAGGTAACAGTATTACAACTAAACTATAGTGAAATGCTATTCAAATGTTTCTAAAAATCAATAGCTCAATAGATCAACAGTATCTCTGTTCTGCACTACTAAAAAACTAGATCAATGTGTTAAATATATTGTGTAGTAAGTTTTGCTTTTAGCATAACCTGGCATTTCATTTGCTTTTTTCCCACCTAAAACTACCAAACATTTAAAGGCTATATCATTTCATTTCCACTTGACTGACTGAACGACAATCAAAATTTTTAAAAAATCCCTTAAAAGAACATTAATTTTAATACATACATAATCAAACAAAATAGTTGGATTGCTGTGGCTCAACTTCCCAATCTGTCTTCCTGAAGGTTTGACATTTTCCTTGGTCAGACGTCTATAAAGAGAGAAAAGTGGCAGGGTTGTCTTAAGCAGAATTGCTCATGCTGTTGATAAGATCTGTTGTATCATAGGACTGAAAGTCAGTCCTTTCACAAATACATGAAATGGATCCACGTCCACAACTGCAGTTAGCATATGCTCTGTGGCACAAGTTGGTCTCTCTGAGAGAATTTAGAGTTTACATACTTAACTTTTGTAATATGCATTTCCATCTTAATACTAATAATCTAATAGAGATAAAACCCTTAAAGTACTCTACAAGTACACAAAAAATTTTTATAAAAGAATCATAATTATTTTAGATTTGTAGGGATTTATTTATCAGTTCAGAGATTATGATATCAAATTGGCTATAATATACTGATTGCCTCATGCCATCTGGCTCAATGATGTGAACACAGAAATAGTTATTTCTTGTTGCATTCTTTAATAGAAAGTTCTCTACTTTTCTTATTCAAGGTAGACCATTTGTAAAATAATTTTTACTTCTTTCCTTCCTCTTTATCTCTTCTACTACTCAACATATTTGTCCCAAGATTCTGAAAATTGATATCAGTGAAACTCTTAAAGCTCAAAATAATTATACAAAATCTGAAACTTCTGATTTATTATTACATAATAAATCCACAAATTCAAAACATAATACAGGGCCAAACATGGTGACACATGCCTTTAATCCCAGGACTCAGGAGATCAAGGCCAGCCTGGTCTACATAGCAAGTTCCAGGCCAGCTTGGTCTACAGGAAGACCCTGGGTCAAAAAAATGAGGCATCCACATATGAACAAGTTAAAGGAAAGAAGCTTTCTAAAATGAAAATATATCCAGTGTCACAAAGTAAAATAAAAATATATGAAGTAAATTATAAGTTCAATTTATAATTCAAGAAATGTAACCATTCTCAAAATAACAATATAATTATGTTAATGGGGCTTCTGTGACAAAACTAATCTAACAATTACAATGATTTCATCAATACTGTTTCCTCCTTTATTTCCCCAAGGCTTATTTCTCCCTCTCCCCTCCAATGGAGAAAAGAAATGACTGCTTTTAAATCTGGGCTATATTCTGTTCCACCCTCAAAAGAATCACCACCTGTCTCTACTTAAACACTGAACACTGCTTCAGTTAGTTCTTGTACTTGCCAAGGCTGTTAACCCCTCCCCCTCCCACACACACAGTTTTTAATTCTAGTCCCTTCTGCTTCACTTCTCCAAGGGGAAAATAAACAAAACTAAAGAAATATTTTCTGGGTAATACCCATAGTGTTGTGCACATAAACAATCAATGCACACTTGTAGAAAGAATGAATGTTTGCCTCAGAGTAATACAAGGTTTTCAGCAGTTTTTAAAACTTATGAAGTTATACAAATATTAATACATTCTACTTTCAAGGGGAAAAAAAGCAGCAAACTCATAGTGTTCAAGTTTGGTGAAATAGTTACAGCTTAAAAATGTAACAAAAATCCAAGAATATTAAGAATCCTGAACATACTGTTTGGCACTAAATTAGACTTATTCATATATGCACTCATTCATATTAATGTGTACTATGACAAAGTGCTAAAGAATACAAAAATGAGTAACAGTCCTTGCTCTCAAGCCTGACTTTGCTAGCGACACAGATTTAAAATCATTTTGCAAATGTCCATATTCATTTTCATTTGTTTTGTTTGCCTGAGACACCTAGGTAGTCCAGAGAGGACTCAAACTCAAAACTCTCTTTCCTCAGCCTCCTGAGTGCAAGGAATACAGGAATGTGCCACTAATCTTGACAATTTCTTTCAAAATATACAAATTTGAGAACAGAATTTATATGCTATCAATAATATTAAAAGTGGGTATAATATATTCACATTGCCTTGAATATACATAAAACTATCAAGAAGGATAAATAATCTAAATATGTGCAACTTTTATCCCCTATGATAAGAGAACTGAGTGGACAGAGATAGGGATGAGACACACCTTATCTTTTTTTCAAAACAATTGTGTATGCTGTATTGTACACGATGTATAGGCATTCTAGAACAATTCAGTCAAGCTAATTAAGAGTCCACCACCTCAAAAACTTTACTGTGGTGTGAATATCCAAAAGCTATTCTTTTAGGAAATTTGAGATACATATTATTAACTGTGGTCACCACACAGTATAATAGATGGCTATGATGCATTCCTCAAGTCTAAGCAAAACCATGTATCCTTTGAGCAACACGTCTCTTTTCCTTCAAATCACTCCTTTCCAAACACTTGTCATGCTGATGATAACCATCATTCCCACTTTAAAAAGAAGTAAATTCTGTCATTCACAACCTTGACAAAGCTGGATGACAATGTGGTAACTGAACTAAACACAGAAAGATAAGTACTGTATAACACTTATAATGTAGAATCTGTACACCTCTTTATATTTACTGAAATTAAAACCAAGAGATCATATAGTTTTCGAAACTTTTATATAACCACAAAAAGAGAAACAAGCATAGTAATTAATGTACCTAAGCTGAATGTCAGCATGATTTGCATAAGGTAGACTGCCGACACAAATCAACTGTTCGGCAGTGTGTGCGAGGGAAAGTTCACAGAGTTGACAAGGGAGCACTCGCTCCATGGATGAATCATCAGGTGGAAAGAGAAAAGTGGGGTTAGGGAAAACTTGTACAAATAAAGGAAACCACAAATATATGCAAAGCATGTAAAACTAAGGACACCATGATACATTCAGTACATTTATAAGCTTTTTCAAACTTGAGGCCCTGACACAAGCTAGATGCAACAAAGGAAAATATATCCAAACATAATTGGGATTAATATGAAGAAAAATAAAACTTACTTCATGATATATTTGGCTCTGTCTATTGTTTGAGCTTTAACTTTTACTAAAAGTGGGTGACTGTTATAAGTTTCATTCTTCCACTGGCCATAGAGACGGTATCTTTAAAAAATGATGATACAGAATTAGGAACAATTATATGCTTATAGGTAATAACTGGAATTAATTACGAGCAGTTAAAATTATGAACATGTATTTACCTATGCTGATAGGGAAATGTTTTAAACATTCCCCATAGTTCCTCAGACATACAAGCATTGCAGTCCATCAAAGAAAGAGACGGTAATAATACCTGGTCAGTAATGCTAAGTAAACAGCTAAGAATAACTTCCTAAGAAGAAAGCAAGAAAAATTACTTCATTAAGTGATCCATATCAATACACCCTCAAAATAAAAAATATGACAATCTTAGATAAATTATCATTTTTTAATCTTATAGGGCACAATATTTAATTCCCCACTCTATCATTTTCTTTTCTCCATATAAGACAGGATATGAGGTGCAAGACGAAAAGGACATGACAAGGCAGTGAGGGATTTTGAACTGTCTTCCTTTACAGTATGCTACTCTTCAAAAAGAGGACGTTAGTCTTAACAGAAAATTTAACTGAGTTGCCAAAAGCTGCATTAGCATGTAAAGTACAAATTCTTTACAACGTTTCTTACCGTTTTTTCTTTGTCTTCTTGCTTGCTTCCATCAGACTGAAACTAAAATTTAAAAAGTTTAAATGTTATGCTACTACACATATAGCTCATAATTACTCTATACACACGTATTTGAAATCCAGTGCATTACTAACCAACATTTTTAAATTTCATCTATATTTCTAACCTCTAAATCATTTTCAATACCCATGAATTTTCATTATTTTACTTGTTTCTTGTCTGTTTGAACTTTTGTAGACCTGCTTTCACCTCCGAAGTGCTGGATTACAGGTGTGCACACACCAGGTTTTTGTGGTGCTGGGGATCAAAGCCTGGGCACAGTACATGCTAGCCAAGCACTCTGCCACCTGAGCTACACCCCCAGCCCTAAGTATCAATTCTATGAACCACTTATTTTCTCAAGCTCATCCTTAATATTGTTTAATAAAATTGTAGCCAGGACAACCAATTATTTACAATGTATTTATATTTCTCGATCTAGATTTCCTTTATAGAATCAATAAAATCAAATATCAACATAACAAAAAAAATCAAAATTAAGTAAATCAATTTAAATCTGTATTTTAATATACTACCAAAGTGCCTACTGAAAAATAAGCCCAAAATATTAATTATAGTGCTGACAAAGACAAAAACATTGCCTAACATGTGTGGACTGAATTTTAAAATGTGGGTCCTTCTGTATTATCCCAATATGGACTGAATCTTGAAGCAATATATTTGACAATGTTGTCTGCTTTATTCAAAAGGAAACAGAAAGTGACAGCTGTATGTAGGCATGTGGCTAAAGCGCCAACACCTAAGGACAATCTAGACCTTGTGGGAACAATTTAGCTCAGTATGAAGAGAGGGAAGGCACACAGCTGTAATTCCAGCACGGGGGAGGTAGACACAGGTTGATCTCTGTGAGATCAAGGCCAGCCCGATGTCTGAAAAAGACAAAAAAAATCCAAATTTTAAAAAGAAAAATATCATTAAACTGAAGAGTTTAAAAATGAAAAGACAAAAAAGGCAAACCAGACAGTTAAAAAAGAAATTTCAAAAATTGCCTGATTAAAGGCCTTTGACCAACAATATACAAAGAAAAGAACTCAATAATAAAAAGATAGTCCTAACTTTACAATGAGCAAGAGATACACATGACAAATAAGCACGCAAAAGGATGTTCGACATCACCAGTCACCAGTAAGATGAAAGTTGAGGATGTGGAAGAACTGAAAGACTACGACAATTGCTCTCAGGAATGCAAAATGTACAGACACTTTAGAACAGTTTTGCAGTTTCTTAGCGTTAAACATACACTTACTTATTCTACTAATAAGCACTGCTGGCAACACAAAACCTTATGCCTCCCAAAAGAAAATACAGATATTCAAAGTAACTCCATAATAGCCCCAACTAGAAATAACCTAAATGCCCATCAACTGGTAAATGTATAAGTGACAATGTTTCCATATAATGAAATATTATTCAGCAAAAGGAAATACTGACACATTCAACAACCAGGATGAATCTCAGAACATTAAGTGGAAGAATTCGGAAAAACCATATCTACAATTCTATTTATATGCAATCTAGAAAAAGTAAAACTTTAATGACAGAAAGCCTATCACAAGTTGAAAGAAATCAGCAATAGATAAACTGACTTTAAGGGAGCAAGAGGGAACAGTATGCCTGAGTAAAGAGCGCACTGATTATTTGTGGTGGTTATGGCAGTGGGTGTATTTGTCAGAAGTCATCAAATTAAGGCATCCCAGCCTGGAGACATTTATTATATGTACCTCATAGCTGATATTTAAAGGCCAAATATATCCTAATTGTTTAAGCTGAGGTAGTAACCTGAAGGGAGTACAGAAGAGACTGAGTTACTGGAAGTATTCTATTTCTCAGTTGGGGTAGTAGACACACAGGTATTTACTTTGGAAAACGTCACTGAACTGTACAATTACAATTTATATATTTTTCTGCATACGTAATTTATTTCAATGAAAAGTTTACTTGAAAGGGAAGTGACTGGATCACAGCTCCACAACAGAACACATCCTTAACATGCACAAAGCCCTAAGTTCAATCCCCAACACCAAAAAAAAAAAAAAAAACTAAAAAGTCAAATAATAGGCTCTCAATAGCGGTTGGAAAGATGTAGTACAGCTAATAGCAGTGATTCAAAATTGAGCTGAGAAAATAAGTAGAAAATAAAAATAAGTAAGGGAAAAGAACAGCAAGCAATTGCTAGTTATAAAGGAATTCAAAATGTGGACACTTGCCAAAAGATTTTCCTAAGGGAGGTATTTGACAATAATCTACCTAGATCTGGAGTTTTGTACACACATACAAACAATAATGATTAGGACACCTCAGACTTTGCATTAAACTTTACTCAAGAAACTCTTCTTAAATTAAGTTTATTTTTGTTTCTAGAAATACTCATAAAAACAAGTATACTAAAACATTTTCATTCGAAATTTAAATTTTCTACCATGAAGAAAAATCTTACTAACCTCCTTCATAAATGACTTGCCTATGCGCACGACTTTTGCGAATAAAATGGGATCGTGAGAAAGGTGAGGCCCAAGGTAACAGAACATACTGAATACATCCCTCCTCAGATCTTCAAAGCTTTCTGCTTGCTTTGGAGCTCTCTGGTTTTGCAAAGCGTTAATGGGTGAGCCTTTAGCACCTTTAGGAACGCCAACTCTACAAAGAGAAAAAAAATTTAGAAATCTACGCACTATACAATACCATCTTACACAAACGTTTTATTGCTCTTATTTGCTTGGATATTTTACTCGTAATTAACTTTATTATATCGAACAATTCAACTGGCAAAAAATAAAAACAATATTCATCATGATCACATTCGAAGCTCAGAGGAGAATGTTACAAGACAGTAACTTAAGTAAAGGAAATCAAACTAATATAGATTTTTCAAGTAACATCTAACAGATGAACTGAGGCTAAACTCGGCTAGCACCACGAATTTAGTTATGGTTATGAGACGTAAGGGATGGACTTCAGATATACTAGAAGATGAAGTAAAACACTTCTCAATGTGGGTTGTACTACCTACACTGAGTATGAGGTATGTTGTAGGGAAGGTAAGCTGTACAATCAAAGATGTCATACTAAGAATGGACAGCATGCCCAGAGTTCTCACCTGCTGAGCAGGTGTCCCACTTTGAAGTCACAGGGGTGTCTCTGAGAAGAAGCCATCACGATCTACAGCCCAGGTGGCACTGAAGATAGCAGCCAGTAGCTATGCACAAGTCACAAGGCTGGGGCTTTTGAGGGAGGCTCTGTTCTGTGGGGCTGAAGCCAAAGCTGCTGCTGCCAATACTGCTCCTGAGTACCCTGCAAGTGGCTGACATCTGCAGGACTATTTCTACATTAGGGATGATCAGAAGGGCTGCACTAGTAAATTTTCGACAGCAGCCTGACAGGCAGAATGGCAAAGTCCTCACTCAGAGCCACTGAACACAAGATAGAGGAACAATTCACTAAATTAAAAAAAAACTAAAGAATTTTCTGCCTCTCAAGAGAACAGGAAATGTCAAAAACAACAAAAATGGAGTTTTCGCTCTCAATAAAGCAAACCAAATCTAGAAGCTTAACCTATACTTTTCTTTTACAATTTAAGCTGTAATGTTCATACACATTCTAGAAGACCTAGACATTAGGAAAGATGTCAAATAAATACAGCTGACACACATTGTGAATATTTCTTAGGTTTTGAGAAGTGCACTAATTGGCTCGATTTTAGGACAAATGACAAATACACAGGCCAAATGACAAACACACAGATCTCTTTAGTAGTCCTAAACTATCTATATCTCAATGCTTAGTAAAGTACATAGTAACGTACCTTCGGTAGAGAGGCTCGATAGTTATGTGAATGAGCTTGCAAATAGCAAGGGCTATTAGTTTATGAGCAGCTGCATAGTATGGGGGCATCTGATCCATAATGTTCTGTGCATGCTGCCAATCACCAATCTTTAACAAAGCTTCCAACAAACCAAGTTTTTGGTTGTCAGGTGGCTAAAAATGAACAGGCATAACATACTTGAGATACAGGAATCAAGAAATCTTAATGTTTGTTTTTTCTCTCTAAAAATTTAAGTACCAAAATAAATAGTTGTCATTCCTAGACCATTAAACAGTGTTTTCCTAAATTTTGAATTTTCAGCTACTGAAAAAAAAATCTGCTTCTGCCCATTAAGTACATACATAGGTATTATAGTTTATAAACTTAGAACCAAGTTCAACTCCAAGTTACACTGTGCAACAGGCAACTAGAATTTATTCAACTTTGAGAATCCCTTTAGGATTTGAAGGCTATTTATTATATATACAGCAAAAATATAGTTGATATAGTCTGTGATTTTTCTTACATTTTGAAATTTACACAAGACGAAAAAAAGCAGCCTTCTTTGTGAAGGAATCATTCAAGTTGAAAACAAATCACTTTAAAAATAACACTTTATTATTTTTATGTTACATGTATGAGCATATTACATGCATGTAAGTGCACCAGTGCTGTGCAATCCTGGTGGTGGTCAGAAGAGGATGCTGAATTCCCCTGAAAATGGAGTTACAGATGGTTGTTAGCCACCATGTGGGTGCTGGGAATCAAAGCCAGGTTCTCTGCAAGAGCAGCCAGAGCTCTTAAGCACTGAGCCATCTCTCCAGGTCACCAAAATGTATCACTTTTACAAAATGAAAATCCTCTAAATCAAGATTTAGCATAAGCAATGCTAAAAAAGTATGCTTCCTAAGCTGATTAACCATGAGAATTTGAATTTCCTGACTCTAAACAATGTTAACTTGACTATGCTGAGTGGTATACCTTCCCTACCTTTTCATCTTCTTTTTCCTTTTCTTTCTCTCGTTCATCAAATTTTTCAGAAGACAATACAACCATTGTAAGCTTTCTAACAATCTGCTTAGCTTCCACAATTTCTCGCTTATATTCATCCATAATGCAATTATCAGCTGGAAGAAGCTAAAAATGGTAAAATTTCATAAAACAGTTAATATAAACAGCTTACTCATAAAAAGCAAACAATATTAATTGATAAAACTGTATATAAGAACTCTGGCTTTAACTTCTATTAGTTCCCTTCCAAATAAATTTTACTCAGTTGTTAAAATTTATGAGTTAGTATCTGAATTTTGTACACATTTCTTTTGTGTATGAGTGCTCTGCCTGCATGTATGTAAGTGCACCACATGAATGCAATGCTTGTGGAGGCCATATAAGGACATCATGTCCCCTCGAACTGGAGTTACTACAGGATGGTTGTGAGCTACCATGTGGGTGCTGAGAACTGAACCTAGGTCTTCTGGAAGAGCAGCCAGTGCTCTTAAGTGCTAAGTCAGCTCTCCAGCCCCCTGAGTTGTGTACAGAGGGTAAAATGCATCATGTTTTTTGTGTGTTTAAAGTCCTAAGTTAATATTACAGTGATGTTTACCCCTGAACTTATTAAGATAGCCAAGAAAATATGTACCTATTCCACTGAAAATACTGGAGGGATGGGTGGCTCAGCAGCAGAACAAAGTTTGCCTAGCATGAATCAGGCCCTGTGTTTGACCTCCAATAATACAAAAACACAACAAACAAAAACTATGTACTTTTCCTTTAAAATTCAAACTCCAAACTAAATAAAGTATAATACTTGGATCAAATTTTGAAGAGGTGAACTGCTAAATTACATTAAAGGGTAGATTTGAATATTCTAATTTTCAAAAACAAAAATTCTTAATAACTTGGTATCTCAAAACAAGTCATAGATCGGTGTAGGGGCTGAGATCTCAGCAGACTGCCAGAGTGCCTGTTTGGGCCTCCCTCTGGCACAGGGGCTGAGAACTCAGGGGACCTCTCTGAAAGTGCCTGGATCCTGCCTCCACATGGTGTGTGTGAATGAAATGTGATCAGTCAGCCTCCTGCTCCTGCCACTATGCCATGCCTGCCCTCACCAAGATGGACTCTATCCCCCTGGAACTGTAAGTTAAAATAAACGTTTTCTTCCTTAAGTTGCAAAAAAAGTCATAAACTAGTTTCTAGATAAATAAAAAAGAGAAAGTAGTATGTATCTAATCAACCCTCCATTATGAAAAAGGGTTGATTATCTCAAATCTAGCCACCTTGTATAAGTAGAAGATTGTTAATATAAGCATTTCATATAATAACCTTGACACAAACAAAAATACAAAAGCATTAGTTTCTGCTAGGCACTACAGTGAGGTACAAGTGTTTCTACCCCTGTAGAAATACATAATCTAGTTCAATACCTAGGGCTGACGCAAAGTAAATAATCAGTGAACAATAAAAGGTGAAATATGAAACACTGTATACTTCATCCTATTTGCTATGGACTTATCTAAGAGATAAATAATAAGAATTTTTTCATTCTGTACAACAAATACTCTTACATTATTCATAAGACTAGCGGGGGTCCTTATCTTTTACCTAGATGACTATAACTGCTTCTAATGGATAAACACTATGCTGTTGCCTATATTTATCTCAACTTCCAGGTCTGTGTATTTTAAGAATATATTAGCTTGGTACATGTAAAGTTAGAACTATTTTGTCTTCTTAGTGAAAACAATTTTATTAAGTGACACTGTTTTCTGGGGTTTTTTTTCCCCTTTTCGCTTTTATTTTTTGCAGTGCAGGTGCTCAAATCCAGGACCTCGAATATGCTACACCGCCTTTAGCCTTTAGCTCCTTTTACCAGAAGTTTCTTCTGTGAAGAGTAACAATTTCCCTCACTTTTACTTGTAGTGGTATTTTGTTTGGAGGGTTGTTTTCTTTTTGTTTTGTTCTGTCTTATTTTTGAGACAGTGTCTCCCTGTATAGCCCTGACTGGGCTAGAACTTGCTATGTAAACAAGGCTGGCCTTGAATTCCTGCCTCTGCCTCCTCTGTGACATGAGTCACCACACCTGGCTTCCTTTCAGTATTTCTTGATTCCTGCACTTTAGCTGTATCTAGCCTAAACATTAAACTGGCATATTAAACCCAATCTGACAAACTTTGTCATGTTCAGGGCAGAGAGAACTTAGTCTGTTTGCATTTATTATTGAACTGAAGCACGTGCATACTGAATCCCATTTTCATTTTAAATCTATTTTTATGCCAGATTACATGTCTTCAATTTCTCCCTCTTCTGTTCACTTCTCCACATTTTCAGTTTACAAAACCACTTTTATTTAAATCCTGAATGGCTCACTCCATCCACCCAAGAGAAAAACCTAAACTATCTACTGAACAGTTAGTCCCAACCTGCTTCTCCATCCTCATTACTCCTGCATACCCTCTAGGCTCCAAAGGCTCTGAATTTCCAGGTATCCTTTATATGGATAACACAGCTCTTTCAAGTATGTTCCCTTTATCTTTCTACCATTTAAGCCTGAAAATATCTACTCCTCTAGGAGGCTCTCAATTCAACCTCACTAGATGGAAAGTGTTCCAGTTCTGCCCTCCTCCCACCCCCAAAGAAATGTGATCACTATCTATTATGAGCTCCCACCACAAAGTACTTTTTTATGCAAGGCAATTTTTTTCTCCCTTGTTACAATGTTACTGTTTCCGAAGTTAAAGGCTTTTAAATTCAATTCTCTAGCCACAGTATATGAAGATAGGTAAGAGAATTTATAAATGATATCAAAGGCAGCCAAGATTGCAATTTTGAACAGCTTTAAGTCCATATATATCCTATCACAGAAACTAATAAAACACTGTACTGTCCACTTGAGCTTCCTAAACTGGCAGCTAAACTGTTGCTGAACTAGAAGTCACCCATGGCAACCACAAATACGTCTAGATCCAGAACCCAGCAATAAAGCAAAATAGCAGTCATTTATTGCAGAGTAAAAATAGAGAAAGAATTGTAATATACTGAAACTAAAAGTACAGTAACATTTACCTAGAAGTATCTAAACAATCCCCTATTTCCAATAAGTCATATATAAAAGAGAAAGCATAATCCACATCGTTTAGAGTTTAGCCTTTCTCCCGATTAGATAAGCCCTAGTGATGATTAAAAGAACTTGAACTATATACCGACCTTGAATTCTGTTAACAGTGACTAAAAAAAAATTCAATTTCCATAGTTGATCAAAGAAGAGAATCTTTTAAGTTTATAAAGTTGACAAACAATGTATTATGCCTTCAAAGAATAAGACTTAGGAGTCTTGAGCCAATTATAAGGCTGCCTACTCCTCATTCCTACCTCTGAAATGGACAAGCAAAAATGGCCAGCACACTTGACTTACGTGTACATAAAGATCGTCTAAATCAATGAGATTAAATTGCAGAAGTACGGCTGCAACTCTGTATAAAGATGACGGCGTCTCACCACTTGGTTCCTGGAAAGAAAAGAAAAATTTCTACTTAGGGTATAAAGAATAATTTAAAAAATCATCTTTTCTCTGCCAATAATCAAGAAAATTTGAGTAATGCAAAAATAAACTTCACTGTTTTCATTATCAAATCAAATATCTGAGTAGTGGAACAAAGATTATGCCAGTAGCCTGAAGCATCTAATGAATGCAAGAAAACAGTTTTGACCATAGGCATCTTTTACAATGCATAATATCTGAATAAAAGCCATGACATGAACAGAATGTGAGGTTTGAACTGTATAATATTTTGGCTGCATTTCTGTTTAAACAGGTTTTCTTTTTTATTTCGCTTTTTCAAATAGCTCTCAGTGGACAGTCAGAAGGGTAAGACTAACAAATATGGACATACAGAACCATCTGTGTTTGCTTCATACTCGCTCCTTAGAACTTTATTTCTTCAATTTTATCCTAAGTAAATCTACTTGCCACTGACTTCCTCTTCAAAACAGGTAGATAAGTCAACGTATTAAAATGCAAAATAGCAAAGTAAATCCCAGCTTAGGAGGACCTTATCTACAAATATAAAGATCTTTGAATTCTAATGACACTGAAGCTAATCTTTAAGCTTTTATGGAAAAAAAAACTGGCAACAATTGATGAAATGTAAATGAAAAGCAAGCACTAAGTTTGGCATGGTGGCATACTAGGGAGGAGGGGGAACTCGTTGAGAATTTTTTTTAGGGAGGAGCTACACAAGACAGAAACACAAGCACAATTGCTTACTCCCTCAGGTATTAGCAGCCTGCACCAGGAGTGTGGGCTTCTATCATCGCAGCCATCACTGAGCTGATGTGCAGATAGTAGGCAGACATTTTGAATGTCGCAGCATTCTTTCACCCCAAAGCAACAACTTCATTCTCCAAAAATAACTTCCCTGAGTGCTATAAGCTTTAAAAAAAAAAAAAAAAAAAAAAAAAAAAAAGACTAGATTCTATCTCTAAAAGTTGACTGGTCATTTTTGCCTGTTGTCCACTGCTTCTGTGAAGAGACAGCTCTCAAGCTCCCCATGACCCCATTTTCAGTTACTTCCTGTTGTTCCCATCTACAGACACTTCCCCCATCCTCTGTTAAATTTCTATTTTGGAGACAGAGTCTTGCTATGCTCTCCAGGCTCATCTTGTATCCTAGACTGAAGTGAACATCCTACTCAGAAGAGTTGTGACTACAGCTACAAAGATGCAGCTTAGTCTTGTCTTAGTCCATTAATAACAATGTCACGTATCCAGCCAAGTGTGCTTCTTGAATACTACTGGCCAATTAGGCTGTCTCGTCCATTTCATCAACTAATTCCTAATCTTCTGATCTCCAAGATCATATATCTCCTCTCTCCCTCAGATGATGGTTCTGGTTTCTATTTCAATGAGAAAATCAGAGCCATCAGTTGGGGTTCTATAAACTCCCACAATCACACACATCAACAACTATATCTAAAGACACTGGTTTCCCAGTGATTATAGGTAAACTCTGCTCCTATTTAAAGTCAACCCATCTATTATCACTAAGCTTCATTCTGTTTGTCTTCTAATGGTCACTTATATCACCAGCTTCCCTCATTCTACTCATTTACTCCTATTAGCATAGAAATGTGTTCTCTCCTATCTGTACAAAAAAAAATCCAAAAAATTTTATCTTCAGCTCACTTCAGCTGATATCCCATTTGTCTGCAACTCTATGTAATAACTGCTTTACAGAGTCGATTCTCACTGTCTCCAATCCCACTATTTCCTCTCCCTTGTCCTCGTTATTTACCCTAGGCTGGCCTCAAATTTGAGATCCTCCTGCCTCAGCCTCTTGAGTGCTGGGATCAAACCTGTGAATCACCAAACCTGACTCTTCCCATTTTCTCTTAAAATATAATTCCAACAAATAGCTAGTTTTTATTTCCTTGATAATAAATCTAAAGTCACATTTCAGTCTTGGAATGACTTATCAGAAGCATTTGACAATGTTAATTGCTTTTTTTCCCATTCAGTTTCTAAGATGATATATTCTTTTTGTCTTCCTCTTCTCTTACATGGTTTTCTACCTTCTTCGATGGTACCTCCTCATCTCCCAGTCCACTTAGTACTAAGTGTCTCAGTGTTCAGTTCTTGAGTTACCTGTCACACTGTGACCTAATCGTTGGTGTTTACATTCAGTATCACAACCTTTAATAATATCTTCATTCGTCTGATATACAAGTTTCTATTTCTAGCTCAATCCTTTCTCTTAAACATCAGATCAATACATATCCAGGTATCTATTATAATCCAATTACTTGTCAGACACCTATGGCTGCTATTTACACTTGGATATCCAACAGATATTTCGAACTTAACACATCAGCAAGTGAATTCTGAATTCCATCTGAAAATGTCCCCTATCTCAGTGGATGGTAACATTATCTTTTTATTCAGTCCAAAAGAATCTAAAATAGTCTCCACTTTCTCACATTCTGCATCCAATTCATCAGCAAACACTACTGGATGTACCTTCAATATATATTCAGAATTTTGTAAACATCCACTGCTACCACAAGTAATCAGATGGAGTCTTAGAAAATTTCACTCAACACAAGCATGTACATACTTGCTTCTGCTGACTGTCCCATTCATGCTCGCTGTCAATGTGTCTCTCTGCCTCTGCCCTCCATTCTGCACATACACACTCACTCACGTCACCACTGATGGTTGCTACTAAATTAAGACTTTACCCTGACTAGCTGGTAATTAAGAGGAAAAAGTAAAGCACTTGTTCTGACTTTCTAGTAGGCATTAAATTTCAAAGAACCCAAACAGCCCAAGTTGATATGGACCAACTCTTCTTTGTTGAAGAATAACAACTAATAATAAGTGTACAGGGCATGAGAAAATTGGTAAATTAACACTTTAGAAGTCCTAAGTAAAACAAGGGCTGAAGCAAGTATTATCCATGGATTGTAAAACCTCTCATGTGAGGTTGAGGAGGAACTGAATATTCACATGTATCCTATCACTCTACAGAAAATTTGCTATTGATGGGGAAGCGATGGATAACGGAGACATCAGACTGTCACCAAATTACTAAATCATTTAAAGACAGACATTAGATGTTATGCAATATGAAGCATACAATGTGTAACGTGTCAAATATTTTGTTTTTTAATAGTTTAGTGGAATATAATCAAGACTTTAGACCTGATTCCAAGTATATTTAAAAAAATACAAAGACAAAGAACAAATCAAGACAGCCATGAAAAAAAGTAACTAGATAAAGTCCAAAGGCAGAGTCTCTGAGGGAATGATATCATCAACCATTCAATGCCATTAAATGTTGGGTATGTTCTAAATTAAAAGAGATTGAAAATATCTTGATAAGAAAATGTCATGTGTAGTTTTGGGGTTCATCATATGAACTTGTAAGATACATTTTGGGGACAACTTGGGAAAGTTGAATACAATCTGGGTTTGTTACATGACAGTAAAGTTGTTAGTTATGAAACTGGCCATCGTGGTTATATAGAAAAATGTCCTTACTCTTTAAAAAAATTCATGTTAAGGAGGAAATTCTCAAACATCTCCAAAGAATTTAATGATATATCAACATCTTACTCCTTCACGTACACTTCAAAATGTTCATAATGGAATAAAAAAAGACAAACACAAGAAAAAAAAACTAAGTTAGATGATACCAAGTCCCAACTCTAAACCTTCCATTGGCTTACCCAATATTAAAGCCAAAGATCTTGCACTGTCTGTGTGATCTGATCCCCTCCCCAACTCTTACCTCATATACTGCCTTCTCATTCAGTCATTCTAATGTAACCACTGGCTTCATTGCTATTCTTCAACAAACCTGGCATGCTCACATTTTAGGGCCACTATGCTTTCCTGGAAGTTCTCCAGTGGGTATATGCAGTTTACACCCTTGCATCCTTTACACTCTTTACTTAAATATCACTTTTTCAAGAAGTTCTACATACTACTCGATTCAAAACTGGTAACTTCAACTCTAGAACTCCTCAGCTTCTTTATCCTGCTCTGTATTTTTCTGTTTCCTGGACCACCTTCTAATATATAATTTATTAACAATGTATAACAGTATCAATGCAAGGATTACTGATTAATTTAAGAAATTTTCTGTAGATAGCCCCAGAATCTAGAACAGTATTTTATACCTACCAGTTACTCAACATTTCTTTTTTTTTTTATGTGTATGTATGTATTGCCTGCATGTAAGTGCACCCGTGTCGTGCAATGCCAGTGGAGGACAGAAGAGGCTGTCGGATCCCCTGGAATTGGAGTTACAGGACAGTTTTAGCTGCCATGTGGGTGCTGGGATTCGAACCCGGGTCTTCTACAAGAGCAGTCAGTATTCTTGACTGCTGAGCCATCTCTCCAGCCCTGTACTCAACATTTCTTAAAGAAACGAATTTGCAGTACATATAATAGGTTCTATACATGGCACCACAATTACTAAAACAATTAGATTTTTAATCCAAAAATTAAGACCCTATGACACAACTGAGAAACATCAACTCATCCTTATTTCTGGTGAGAGATCCACTCCAGACAAATTGTCTTTTGTGACCCTGCTTTTAGTACTCCATCTTCATGCTCTTTCTGCTATCCCTCCTGCTACCCCTAAACTCTCTGCTGTAGAGCACAACTGAGAATGAGTCTACCCTACTGTTCAAAAAGGCCATGTATTTTAAAACTGCTGGTCATAGATGGACATTGTGGCAAAACCACTCTCACCAACATCATAGTAGGAATAATTAGCTCTAGGTAGAAGCACTAAGTGAGCAAAGAAGTTAACCAAGAAATCCCCAAATGGTCAAAATGCGGACTGAGAAAAGGGAGAGGAAATATTTTCAAGTAGAGGAAGGAAAGGGAATGATGGAATTAGGAAAGGGACCAATATAGAGGTTGACCACACAGGCCTCACAGCCTACAGCCATGCTTATATTCCCTCCGCAATTCTTAGTTTCCACAGCTCTCCTTCCTTTCCTTCACAGACTACAAATTGTCTAAATCGCTTGACAATTCTTCCCCTACCTTTAGTGGCCCTTAGACTAGATTCTTACAATAACAAAATCACTCTGGCAACGGAAACAAGTGAATATTGTTATACAAAGCAGTATGAGAGGTTATTTCTTAAAATGGCAAGTTCTACATTATATACAAAAAGTAATGTTCAAATATTGTCAAGGGATACTTCAATTCAAAAAAGGGTTACATTAGGAACAATGTTTATGTAAATATAGTTTTCATTTTAAAAATAGCACTCAACTAACTTGAAGTTACAGAGAAGGTAATCACACTCAACTGTGATTCGCTTTGAAAGGTACACATGTTCCAAAGCTTTAGCCTGTATTCGAATTAATCGTGAACCAAGTGAAATTTTGGCTGTCATTTCATTTCAGCAGTTGGTATCTTACTTACATTCAAAGCAATCAGGGTGCTTTTTAAAATCCAATGAAGTACTTGAACCTATCTCCCTATATTAAGAGCGCACTCTCAAGCCAATGGCAGGAAAATGAACAGCAGCCATGGCTAATTTTTTTAATAAAGGCAGAGTACTCACTCTTAACCAAAATCCTTGCTTTGTGTCTTATGTGGGCTTAAAAGCCATATGTTTTTAAACTATGGATCTGGTTTATCTTTTCTCTGTGCAGCATTCCAAAGAATACAAAAAAAAAGATACCAGAGACAGCAGGTAATCTATTATTTGAGAATCTAAAAGGCAATCCTTTTATTACCCTGAACTCCAAGACGACAGAAATGAATGTTCTTCAACAAAGTCGGTGCCTAGCCAACGGACAGGATATCATTCATAAACAGTCAGTGAATGAGTATTTGACTCACTCATTCTCCCAAGCAAGTTTACAAGTTCATAAAAGACAAAAACATAAAAGGGAAATGGAGGCCTTATTACATAAAATCCCCTCATGCTCTCAAGATTATAATCAGTGAACATTTGCTATAGGCTAAGAGGTAAACCAATGCAGAGAAATTAGTAAAATACTAAAAATGCTTTGTATGACTAAAACCAGTTCAAAAAAGACAGGCATGGTTTATTTTAACATAATATGCAAAGTATTAAAAATATGCACCAAGTTATAAAAATATAGATTAAGAAGTAACTAATTATATATAGATGAAGTGTCGGCTACAACTTTACAAACTAATATAGTACTTATCATGTGTCATTTGCTTTCCATTTATCTACCTCCTCAGCTGAAATGTCTGAGCTGAAACTACCAAACAGTAAATAAAAGACAAATTAAAAAATGAGTAAAACAAATTATGTATATAGAATTAGGAGATTAACCTATATATACATATATACACATATATTTACCTGGTAAAACTTGAATTTGAATCCAAGAATATGACACAGTGTCTGCGGTTCACACATACTCATGTAAGATTCTAATAAAGATATAAAGAAGTCATCGTGTTCTGGCCTACATTCAAACACTTCTAAAATGACATCCAAAACTCTATTCGGATCCAGATTAAAGCATCCTGTAACAGATGAAATATACATAAGTTCAAAAGTGGTTACATATGGATTCTAGTAAAGCCATTAACTTTTAACTATTAACATTAATAGTAAAGTAAAAAATATTCTTTAAAATAACTATTTCAAAGTTTGTTTCCCCTCCTTCAGAGGGAAATCTTTTCAGAAGCATTTTTTTAAAAACACATATTTTACAGATGAAAATGCGACTTGCCTAGGATCATATAATGATTAATGCCAAGCCTCAGGCTGAAGTCCAGAACCCGGGACACTAGTCACGTAACTTTTTTTCTGCACGCTACTGTTTCATCAGTGCTTGATTACTCAGTCTAATGCAATGATCAACAGTAATGATTATTAGCAAAATATGAAAATCAAATAAATGATGCCTTTTATGGGTCAGGCAACTAAAGGGCTTTTTAAATATGCTAAGGTATACAGTGTTAATAAAAGTAGAGGCTCATGAAACTGGATCATCTTCAGACTCTATTTTACATGTAAATAGTGCTCTGAAAACTGAACTCTATCACTGATTTACTTAAAATTTCAGGTAGCATTCTTAAGGAGAAAGCAGGAGCCTTACTGTGGTATCCTTACTAACAGTGAAGCAATCAGAGAACACCAAAGGAGTTGGAAATACAACAATGACTGTAAATGACAGACACAAAGAAGGAAGAATGCAAACAAACCTTGGACATCAAAGCACGAAGAGAAAAACGCTAACTACGTGTTCATGGTTACTTATGCATTCTAATCTAGAGTGAACTAAAAAGGGCCAAATGGGTACGAAGTTAGTTAATATTCCTACCCACCCTATACTTAATCCTTTTATTTGTTTTTGTTTTTCCTGGGGTAAGCACGGTTGTGGTAGTCTCACATGTGCTAGTCTCACATGTGGTAGTCTCACATGTGCTAAGCTGGTGCTCGGTCACTAATCTTTGTCCCCAGCCCTCTCATCATTATTACTATTGTAATTATTACTATTATTATAATAATAATAATAATTATTATTTTTGGTCGTCTTCAGACAGGGTCTCCCTATAGCCCCAGCTGGCCTGGAACTTGTTATGTAGACCAGGCTGGCCTGTAACTCAGGGAGCTCTGCCTGACTCTACCTCCCAAGTGCTGGGACTAAAGGCATGTACCACCACACTCAGCCACTCATTACTTTTCATTTTGAAAAAATGTCTCACTAACTTACCTAGGCTGGCCTTATATGTGCAATCCCTGTCTCAGCCTCTGAACTCTAATATGCATTCAGCTTCAGCTGTCCACCATACTGATATTACAGTGAAGTTACTTCATATGTGCATTTAAGTTATGGAAAGTCAACCATTTGCATATAGCAAAAGAAAGATGAAGAAAAGTAATTTAAACTGTAGATGCAAATCTACACACTCCTCAATAAAATATGTTCTTATCCATGATGAGCAGGCGATCTTGATCTGCTATTCACTCAGTTTATGTCAGTTCACACTATGATGCCGTGGTCAAATTGAATGGAAGGCTAGTATTTAAAATCATATATTTGTACTCAGACATAGACCCTAAATGCAAGCTAACTATTTCATCAGAACTACAAATAAACACCGACTTCTAATGATAGAGGAAAAACAAACAAAAAAACCCAATTATGTTCAACTTAGGGAGGTAAGTGGTTTCTACTTTTATGAATGACTTAAAGAATTTATCAAAGAAATAAAAATGTTTACATTTTTTTTGAAACAGGGCCTCACTGTGTATTCCAGGCTGGACTTGAACTCATAGCTACCCTCCTGTCTCAGCCTTCTGGGCAGTAAGATTATAAATTCTTAAACTAATGATTTATGCCCACCTAAAGTGTTTTGTAATAAATTTGAGTTCTCTTCTTTTTTTGGTCTTTTGGTCAGCTTGCCTTGAACTCACAGATATCCACCAACCTCTGCCTCTCCAGTGCTGGTATTAAAGGCGTGCACCACCATGCCCAGCCTTTGAGTTACTCCTATTAAACCCCCACTTTATGTTAAATGTCACAAACTACTGTCTGCTTCATAGCAGCAATCACTTGGAGAAACCAATACCCCAATTACAAGTATTTGTCCCTCTTTCTGTGTGATTCAAATTTAACAACAAAGTTTCTTCCATTTCTCACACTAAGGAAAGAGACAACAGCAGTGATCATTTCTTTACCCCCCCCCACCCGAAAAAAAAACAAAGATCTCCAAAAAAGTTTTTTTTCCCTAAAAATCTGGGGTGGAGTGGGGGAGATTCTAAATGTTTTATCTGTCACTGTACCAATAAAATGTTTGGCTTATAAACATTAAAATAACTCCAAAATAACAACTGGAATTCTTAAATCCTGCTAATGGGAATGTAAAATGGAACCTCCAACCTAGTAAAACTGGTGGTTTCTTTAAAACTTTACATGTACCAAATGTCTCAGCCATTCAATGCCTAGATATTTACCAAAGAGAAATAAATGTCTATATTTATACAAACACTTGTACACTTGTTCATAGAAGCTTTATTTGTAATAAGAAATACTTCCAACTATCCATCAAACATGTGCATGGATCATCAAGTTACACTACAATGTAGCTGTAGCAGTACTGCAGACCGCTACTTGAGAATCAAAAGGAAAGAACTTTTGATCCAAGCAACAATATGGAAAAAAATTAAAAATAATTATGATATAATAACCATGCAAGTGAAATAAGCCAAACAAAATGTACATACTTCATGATTACATTTACAAAGAACTGTAGAAAAAGCAAACTAGCCTACAGGGAAAGAAAGGTCAACAGTAGACAAAAGGAAAGGAAAGAACAAGTGGGTGTGGTAATGCAAAAGGACAAGAGAACACTGGAGGAGAAATGGTTAAGAGTTTACATCATCTTATTTATGGGCATGGTTTCACAGGTGTATACCAGTATTTGCAGTTTACAATACATCAATATAAGTCAATAGTGACAACAGATTGTAAAAAAAAAAATACAGCAAATAACCCAATCATTATTTATTTTGTTTGCTTTTTCTGTTTTTTGTTTGTTTGTTTTTGACCAGGGTCTCCCTGGTCCTAGCCCACCTGGAACTTACTATGTGAACCAGGCTGCCTTCAACCTCAGAGAGTTCTCCCTGCCTCGTCCTGAGGGCTGGCATCATAATTTTCACATTTAATGTAAAATAAATCATTGAAAAGAAATGAATAGCACTATTCTATCATAGAGGAGAAAAGGAACAATATTAATTTTTAAGAACTGGCAGGCTTAGATTCACCCATGGAGCCATATATACAAAAATTTGTGAACTAGAACAGTAACATATTTGATGGAAATATTTTAAGTATTACATTGACAATACTTTGGACTTTTCGTCTGTTTTTATTGTTGTTCTTGTTTGCTTTTTTGTTTGAGATGGGGTTTCACTCTGTAGCCCAGGCTCAACTGACTCACTCAGTAGACAAGGCTGGCCTCAAACTTATTATGATTCTCCTGCGTCAGCCTCCCAAGTGCAGGGATTACAGGTATGTGCCCCCACACCCAGGTCTTATTGCCATTACTTTAAAGTTTACATCTCCAACATGTTAAACTGTCAACCATTAACATCTTATTTAATAGTGTTACTTCATCAAACATTTTTAACATACTGAAATTGGAACTATTAATATTATGTTTTTTAACAATATGGTTTCATCAAACATATAATGCCAATAATCTGTAATTTGTTTCTAAATTCAATTTAAAGAAGTAACCGTGAAGATTTATGTCCTTTTATTCATAGCAATGGTATCTTTCACAAAAGAAAACAGGCTTATATGTTTTCTACTACTAAATATTTTAGACATCATAAGTTAGTCTGGTAAATTCCATTTATAAGTAACCAAACTCAAGCATTAGAACATTTTTTAAACTTCAGAGATTTAAATAACAATTAAGCTATTTCATATAAAGTGAAACTAATAAAACAATCAGCAACCTTCAATATTCAAAGAAAAATTTTTGGAAATGACAGCTGTGGTAGAACATAGGCACTCTAGTGTTTAAAAATCTTAGAAAGGCTTTTGTCTGCGATAAGTAAATAGACATCTGATCTTGAAGAGATCATAAGCCTAGATTTCTAACTCAGTCACCAGTTACATTAATACACACACACACACACACACACGCACACACACACGCACACGTCTTCATGCCTTTGTAGAAACAGAGAATCATTCTGGAAGAGAAAATGTGGAAAAATAAAGAAATAACAGGCCTGAGCCATGGACTCATTCTTTCGTTTACATGAACACTAGATAACTATCCACTATGTGCCATGTGCTTGATTAACCGAACGCCTCTTCTATCCAAGGAGAGTTCCCATCTCTTGGAGGATGATCATTGAATAAATGCACTGAAAATTAACTGGAGTTTCCCCAAAGATGTAAAGATGGTCAGAATATTGCAGAAAATGCAACTAGAGCCAAGCAAGAAATATGATTAAACTGACAATGGCTGTTGTAGGAATGAGGCCAAAATGAAATTAACAGGAAAATAACAGACCAAGGTAATACTGCAAGTATTACTGGGAGAGACTTGCAGTGCATAAAGTTCAGACAAGACAGCAAGTTAACAAATTCAATCATCATGTTCCTGATCCAAGTGGCCTTAGAAGACAGAGAAAACCATGTTTTTAATTAAAAAGCAACATACAGGAAGAATTCTTTTTAAAACAAGCTAAGAGGGCTATAGACACAGCTTAGTAGAAAAGTGCTTAATTAGCATGTATAAGGTTCTGAGTTTGATATCCAGCAATGAAAATAAACATGAATGTATGTGCACACAAACATTTCCAACATACAGGTTGAAAAAGAAACAAGCTAATCTACACTAGACAATTTTTTGCAAATAATATTTGCAAAAAATAAAACATCTCAAGGAAAGAATCAATGGATCAAGATTTAGAAAAACTAATTTAACAAAATAAAAGCATGATTACTCTGAAATTTTTCAAGAGCTATATTTGAAAACAGCAACTACTATCATTT